TTGAAATATCACAAAGTATTTTTATAGTATCATAATAAACATTTAATAAATCACGTAAACCATCTATTTTGAGACGAGGATCTAAAATTGTAGTAATTAGATTAAGTTTAGGAATTTTTTTGAAATAAGTTAACAATTTTTCTTTCATTTTATTAATAGCTTTAAATAAAGAAATATCATAACCATCATCATAATCATATAAAACAGCAAAAATGCTAATAGCATGAGTTAATAACAAATGACTAGTAGGATAATAAACACCATATAACACTTGAGTACTATTATAAAAAAAATTTTAAATGTAACTTGATGTAATGTAACTTGATTAACATAAGTAGTAATAAAAAATATATAATAAATTTCTATAAGGATAAGATTCTACTAACAATTCATAAGTTGAATTCCAACGAGTTGAAATATATTTTGAAAAACATTTGGGTGGCGTTCCATTTTGTTTGATGAATATTTTCCAACTTTTTAATGCATTTGGATGAAACCACAAGAAAGAAATTGCTATTTTAATTTGGTTAAGATCATCAATAAGTTTAATACCATCTTGTACACACAAATTTAAAATATGACAAAAACATCTAATATGAAAAAAAGGTCCACAAAATATAGGTTTACAAACACTTTTTAAATCAAGAATGGAGGTAGTGTTTGCACTCGCATTATCAAAAGATAAAGAACAAATTTTGGTAGTTAAAATTATATTTATCAAGAATAATATTTATTAATCTATAAATATTATCAACAGTGTGTCTTTCATCAAAGCCTCTAAAAGTAATTAATTTTTTTTGTAAGAACCAATCTTCATCGACTCAATGACATGTTATACCCATATACAAATGTTTACGCCAAGTATCACTCTACACATTACTACAAAAGGCTACGTGTCCATTAAGATAAAAAAATATTTTGATAAATCTCATTTTCCTTCATTATATAGTTTTTGTATAGTGCGTGTAAGGGTTGTTCTTTTAATAGGTTTGAAACAAGGATTTAAAGCATTTTGACAATAATTTTTTAACTGACTTTTTCACCAAAACTAAATGAAAGATGTTCAACAACTACTAACCTTGCAACTTCCTCTCTGTTCACTTCATTCGAGTAGTGAAAATATTCGAAATTGTTGGATCCACTGCTAACAGGAATTTGTGCTTGTCTCTTATCAAATCTTGTTTGAGAGGGATATTACTGATAAAGTATCTTTTTAGTGTACCATAACCTCCTCTTTTTTTCCACGCAAAGGAACTGGTACAATAGTTACACTGCGCCTTAATTTGTCCATCTACTACTATTTTTTTGAAGAGAGTTTTGAAAATTTCTAATCTTAATTCTCTACCCACTTTTGTTAGAGAAATGAGGTTAGCATTTTCTTACCCCATTTTCAAATCAACATCAATATTTTCATGTTGACTCTCTTCAATATCAATAAATATATGTGGTTGTTCAAAATCTGTTAGAGAAAAAGTGGACATATCTATAGATGGTGTAGAAAAAAGTTTCAAGTAGAAAATTAAGAAAGCTTGTGTATTAATAGATATAGATTTTCTACGAGACTCATTAGCAAATTTCCTATAATGATTGGATACAGACTTTCTAGAAGGGTTTGATATGGATTGTCTAGGGTTTGATGAACTTGACATTTATTATTAAAAAAAGAGCACAAATTGGGAGTAATGAAATGAGATTGCAGAAGATTGAGAAATTATAAAGTAAATTAAGAAGCTAAATGTAATATATCGTTACGGAAAAAAGCTGAATGCAATATATTGTTCCGAACGAAAGAAACTGAATGTAATATAACTGAGAAACTATCACACACACACACACACACATATATAAACAAAAATTAAAAATTATAATGTTGCAAAAAATTAAAACGTTGCGAAGTAACGGTTAATAGAAATGATAGGCATGACTAAACAGCGTGACTGGATTCCCTGCAATCACAATGAAATTTTTTTTAAAAAAAATCTTCAAAGTGAGGCGTGGCAGAGATTCCTGCCATCACAAGCCTTCAAATTTCAAAATAATAATTGAAACAAATCTTCAAAAGTGAAATGAGAATGCTCCAGCCTTCAGCGTGTGGCAGGAATCTCTGCCACACATTTTAAATATAAAATATAATATTTGATATTTAATATTAATTAAATATTTTATATTATATTATAATTATTTTTATATTATATTATAATTATATTAATATTTTTTTAAAATATAAAATAACATTTTAAATTTAAAAATATATAATAAATGAACTAAAATTTAATTAATTTAATTATTAAATAATTAATTAAAATTTATTATTTCAATAAAAAATTTTATAGTCAATTCTTTTTGTAAATAGAGCATTTAGAATAATTCCTTTTTTATTATTAAATAGAAAACTAAAAACTTAACATATATAATATAATAATTATATTTATATTAATTAAATATTTTTCGTATTATAGTTATTTTTATATTAATTACTTTTTATTTTTTAAATAAATATAATTTGTAATATTATTCTTTTAAATAAATATAAAGTCACGGTTCATACATGGTTCCGATTCACGGTTCAGGTTCACGGTTCATGTTTCACGGTTTACTTACGATTCCAATTCATGGTTTACACACAGTTCCGATTTGTGATTCATATTTCACAGTTAACTCACGGTTCCAGTTCATAGTTCAAAACCGGTTCAAGTTACATGGTTTAATCCGTTCCGGTTCAAAAATTCATGAACCATAGCCAGCCCTTCTTGCTTCACAGTTCATAACCAGACCAGACTGGATCTTGCCGATCCGGTCTAGGCCGGCTTTTAACAGGTTTCTTTCTGGCCGGTTCATGATCCGAGCTGGACCTGTGAACAAGGCTATCTCCATGTATCAATCTTACAAGATACTATGGGAAGGCAAGTATTGGTTAAATTTAGGTAAAATTATAATAGTTTTAAATTTAAATTTAATAAGAATATATTTATATTTAAATTTAATTTGAGATCATATAAAATTTGTGATTAGTATTATTGTATTTAAATTTTAAAAAAATTAATATCTAAATAAGAAAATTTTAAATACCAAATTATATGAAATATTATTCTATTTATCCACACAAAAGTTAATGACAAAAAGAGTGTAATATATGATAAATGAAATATATAATTAGTATGCTTTGTAGACATTAATATTAGAAAATTTTAATAATTAAAAGTGAGGATGAATTATTCAATCACGACTATAAACAAAATATTAAGATTAATTATAATATATAAATTATTTATTTCTATTTAAAATATTTTACCTAATAAAAATTATTTAATTTCATAAATTAAATTGTGGTGCACCTTATTTATTTTTTTCTAAAATTCATCTACATATAAACACAATAATGATTATGCATGTATATATATTATATATATAATATAGTATTCATATATGAGATATTAACAATTTGAATTTTTAACAGATCGGATCAAATAAGATTCATATTCGCTTTATTTATTTCAAATTACGAATTTTTTTAATTAGATTATATCAACGAATCTTTTATCGGTTAAAAATCATAAACAATTAGATCGAATTTGAAACGGATTCAAATTAAAATATACACTATTAACAGCCCTAACTACATGTTACGCAGACTTCAGCCAATCATCCTACAACTCCAATAATGATTCAATCTCCTTTGAAGATTTACTTTTAACAATTCTACAAACCCAACTATTAATTTCCAACTATTCTTGAAAAAGATTCGAAGAGTCTAACTGAATAAAAAGTGAGTGAGATCTTCGTTCATTCTGGCATATCGGTAGTTATTTATTGTTTATAAGTATTTGGATTCTCATCGTTTAATGTTCCAAAGATCAATTAATATATTGTAAGATTTCTGGGTTATATTAAGATTTTTGTTGGAATGGGATTTAAGACTTTTTTCTAAAATCAGTTACAATAAACGTTATGATTTTTATTGACTTATCAAATTCATTTTTTGTCTATGTCTATTTTATTTGAGTTTAGATCATGATTGTACTCGGGATTCTGCCATTAAATCTCACACCCATGTGGCACTTGTGAGTCCTCCCAATCCCCACAAGCTTCTTCTTTATTCACTTGAAGAATATGGGATTATATTGAGTTCGCTGAACCTGTAAACCCATAATTGAATATCACTCAACTCTCTCTTCTCTACTTTTTCCATTCTGGTGAGGGTGAGTTGACTGTAACACGTTAAGGCTGACGTTTGTTTATAATTTTCTTTCCCCTTCTAATTTGTTTTGTTTTTCTTTCTTGTCCTACCTCTCCCCCTACAGTCATTTTTTTGGGGGCAAAAATTGTCATTTTTTTATGTAGATAAAAGCTAACTTGGTGGCATACCAAATTTTTTATAGACTCCGTCAAAAATTGTTGATCTTCTTATAATGATCACACCAACCTATGAAAATGTACACACTCCAAATGTAAGGGTTAGTAAGTATTACCGAGCTTAACATGCATATCTTTCTAAAAGCATATACATGAGTTTTATTTTTCACAAAACAAAATATATAATTAACAATAACCCACGCAAAATTTTCACATACTGAAAATGCCAAAAGATAGCCCGCAACAATTGAATACTTCTCTACTTTTACCTTCTCATTCTCTGTCGTCATCTCCATTTTCAGAAATCATTGAACCAATTCGGAAAGAAGCTTCATTTTATTCTTTATTCTTTTGTTTTTATAATTTTCTTTCCCCTTCAAATTTGTTGTCTTCCTTTGCTGCGCCACGTCCGCCACATTCAAATATTGATGCCATATCAACTCATATTTGTCCTGCCGTGATATTCAGAACTACTGACGCAATATGATTTCAATAGAACCGACCAATTCGATCGACAGTTTACAAGTTTAAGGACCATTCTGACAAATTCTATGGTTTGACCAAAATAGAGAAGATCCCCCTAGTTTAAGGAACCAAAAATGTAGTTAGCCCCTTTCTCCCCGTACACTGCCACCCTAATTCCCAACCTAATCTTTGAAGATGACGTCGAGAGCAATTCTCAACAATGGCTGGATTGAGTCCGCGGAGAACTTCCTAGCAAACAAGAATGGGTCCTTCCGTTTGGTCGCCAACGAACTTGAGCCGTTGGGTCCGTCATCACCGTATCTGGGCCTCTTACTTCTAACGGCCGCAATCAAGTCCGGACGCACCTCGGAAGCCCTGTACATGCGGGGTGCCCGTGCCGTCTGATGCTGCAGTCTACGTGGGTAAGGGTTAATGGGATGCATCCACTTGGTCCTTCTGCTGATTAAAGTAGGGAAGTACTGCTCCTCGGGGTAACAGATGGACTTCTTCAAGCATAGTAACCTGAACTTTGACCACAACTTGCTGTCACTCACAATCATCCTGGCGTGCTCGTGGGTCAGAACAAAGAACTGTGACCCGATTCGGAAATTCTCAAAAGGTACTTCGGGGAGCATCGCGTATTTCCCGCGCGCCGCCCAGCGGTCATAAGCACCAGGCTCGTTCTTCAGTAACTCGATGAAACTCTTCTTGGGCCAGATGAGAGTCTTGTAGGTGAAGTTAAAAGAGCGGAGAGGGATGCAGGAGGAGGAAAGAAGGGCAAACATGGAATTTGATGGGTCCTCGAGAAGCGCATGGAGAGCAAGCGACGTGCAGCCGAGATGAGAGTGGGGGAGTGGCGGTGGGTGGGTTTGGAACTGCGTATGACCCGATTCAAAAAGACTCCAGAGAATGGCGGGTCGTATGGGAAAGCGGGTCCGCGTGTATGTATATATTGTGCAGGTTTAAAGGGGTTTGATTGAAGAAGAGTTCCTAAAAGCCAGATTACAGATTCAGAGTTGCAGCTTAAGGAACTGACTACAAGAATTGAGGAAAAGTTGTTCATCATCGTCATCTTCCTCCGTAGATTGATGAGTTTGTTTTTGCTTAGTGGCGGTGGTGACAGAGGTTGAGACGGCAGTGGCACCTCCTGTAGTAGTAGTGGCAGCGGAGGCGATGGTGGTTTGTAGAGGTGGGATTGTAAAGTCACCGTCAATGGAGGTGGTGATGGGAGGTTTGAAGTTGGTGAAAACGACGGCAAGGAGCAAGCAAACAAGTATAGCATAAAAGAGAGACAGTGGACTTGGCAACCCAGGGATTAGTTTCATCCCTATTCCAACGGATACAGAGAGCAGGTAGTGAAAGGGAGAAGATTATATATTTTTCCATTCTGCCAGCTAAAGGAGAAGATTAGATAACTTTTTCCCTTATTTGTATCTGCCTTTTTTTCTATCTTTGAAGATAAAATTAATATGATAGAGTTTATAGAAGATGGGATTTTAATTTAGAATATCTAAATTTTGTTTAAATTCTTTGGATTCTTTTATATTAATTATAATAAAGATTATTATTTTATATATATACAATATTTACTAAATTATTAACAGTGTAAATAGTGCAGATTAACCGATATTAATTATAATAAATTATGTAAATATTCTGTTGGTCATTTTTTTACGAAGACTATAAATTATAGCAGGTAAATTGTTATATTATTTTATAGAGTAAGTGTAAACACGATAACACTTTATTTGTTTTGTTAATTAGATCTAATAATTTCAAACATCTAGTATAATTATTTTATTTGAAAATCATGAGAATGGAAAGAACACGCGACAAAGATGCTGGTCATGTGGGTCTTCCTAAATTCTTTTTAATTTATGTTGAACTTCGTTTCATAATTCACGTTTATGGGAGGAGCCGTTGCCTCAAATACGCAGCTATCTCCGTGGGGTTTGCAAAGTTTCAAATCATGGGTTAATGAACTCAATGCTTTGGGATATATTGTTGGGCTAAAAGGAAAAAGATAGTCGGAGGGTATTTCCTTTTCTTCTCCATCATCAATGCCTTGAAGTAGTTAAAGAATTCAGAATATTATATCACAATGAAGTTGTTCCTATAACTCCTCCACTTTCGTCCCCAGTCATTCAAATCCATCCCCACAATCAGTTTTAAACCGCAAATTATAATATTATATATATATATATATATATAGCTTTTGTTGGAAACAATAATATTCTCATTATTATTACTATAAAATATTTTAATTACAAATCTAATTTTTAAATGATAATTTTAATAATTTAAAATGTATCTCAGAATTTTGTGGCTTAAAAAGAAAGACGAAAATCCAGCCAGAAGCGAGGATCTTGGAAGGATAAGCTAAAATGAGTGGAATAATCAAATTCTCTACTGCTATTCAAAACTTTTGGATGGGATATATCAAACTCGAACAAGGAGATAAGTTCCAGGAGGCCGAATTGCACCAGATCTAGAGGGAACTCCACAATCCAAACTAGATTCAATAGTGAAATTGAAACTCATCGGATGGGTTATCATCGGAACAATTAGATAGTGAGTTGGGGCTATAAATTAAAGCCAAAAGCCCCTTGTTGGGGTGTGGGATGTAGTTGAGTCCAAGGGTAAGACAGGAGCTCGACGGAGACGAAGAATACTAGGGAGGGTGAGTGAGAGAAGTAGAATCTAGCTGCATCCAAGAAGGGAGTGTTGACATTGAGAAGAGAGAATCAAAGAGGAGAGGAGTTTCCTTTGTAATTCAGGAGGGATTAATAAAGGTTGGGAAATTTGAGTGTTTTCCCATAAATTGATCTTTCCTTCCTCTTTCTTCTTCTCTTTTCTCTCTATACAAGCGGACAACTCGAGTGTATAATCCTTGTTTCTACGTTCTGGGTCGGTTTGTGTTTGACTCAAGAAACAGAGGAGCATATTCCGGTGGAGGGAGATCTGCGAGGAATTCTAGCAAGAGTTGCAAGAAGCCTGCTCCAGACAGGGAGAGGCATGTGTGCCACGCCGTTGGAGTGGGAGGCACGTGCGTGAGGGTAGAAGGCCGGACGCAGCATGTGCAATGCATGAAAAAAGATTTAGACGCGTGGCTGAAGGACCAGCGCGCATGTAGGTGCATGTGCGAGTGGCTGAGGCTTCGAAGCGTGAGCCAGATTCCTTGACGCGTGTAGAGTGCGTGCCAAGGTTGAAAAGGTCTAAAACGCAACGTTTTTAATAGGAACTAGAAAACAGCCAAGATTGATTTTTTACGAGCAATAAATAAGTCGGTCTCCGAGTTGTTTTAAAATAAAAATTCTTTAATTTTATAGTAATTCGATGGCGATAAGCTTCTAGTCATATTAATTTATCAACGTGAAGAGGCTCTTGCTATTGAAGGAATATAAAGCCATGTCACAAAAATTGCATTCCTTAAAATGAGAAGATGGATGACATAACCATAGGTTCAAACTCTATAGTTTGGAAACAGAAGCGTGCGTGCGCACCCGTACACAATCATACATATATTTATAATAGAACCTTACCAAATTCAACCAATTTTTAGCAGAAAATTTTTGATTTTACAGAATTTTGCATTACATTATGCAAGAGCTTCACTTCATAGAATTTTTTTATTTAAAAAAATTAAATTTGATATAGTATAATATTGGCTTTTGCATTTGAAGAGAGATGGCATTGTATGGTGCATAAAAATATACGGAGGTAAGAGCTCAAAAGAAAATTTCTGTAAAATCATCAATGGGTTGGTCTTCCTTCCTTCATAGTGCGCCCAAATGGATAGAATGTCATTTGTTGGGTAATTGGCGGATCCGATAAAATAAAACTATGGCTAATAAATGAGATGAAATAATAAAAAGGAATACAAAAATTTACGTGGAAAACTTCCAAATAAAAATTTAGAGTAAAAACTACGGGTAGGAATAGAAGAATTTCACTATGAAGAAAAATAGGAGTTACAACTTATTTCTATTTAAGGAGATAAATAATATTAATCTCTCTTAAAATAGGAGAAAAACAAAAACTCTTTAATTTTCTCTCTCTAAACTATTTTTCTCAGTGGCTTGGAGATGCCTTTGGGATGATTTGAGGGTGCTTGGGTGAGGCCTATTTATAGGCCTCGCACCTTCCTTATACGCGGTTTTAAACAGCGTTTCTCCTCGCGTTTTCTCCTCTTTTCAGCGTAAAGTTTGCAGCCGCAATTTCCATTTTCTTCTTTTCTTTTGGTGGCCGCAGTTTCCCTTTTATTCTTTTGATTGTTTTTTTTTTCATATGGGTTGCGGCTACCTTTTTTCTTTCTTTTGCTTTGCTAGGCTTTTTTCTTTCTTTATTTTGCTTTACTGGACGCCACAATCTCTCACTTGAAAATTTGATTGAATATCAATCATATCTTCACACCATCCTTTCTATCCTGTTAGTTCCATATTACTTACGTCTCTATCAGGCCACATGAGGATCGATATCGAACAAACTTGTTTGTGTTGACTGCTTTTGTCATAAAATCTGCTAGGTTCTCTTTTCTATGAATTTTTCTGCATATCCGCAGTTCCTTTTTCCACTTTCTCACGAACGAGGTGATACTGAACTCGTATGTGTTTTGTCTTTGAATAAAAAGCTGGATTCCTTGCGAGATGCAAAGTACTCTAACTATCACAAAATAGAGCAGTCTTCTCTTGTGTGTGCCCGAATTCCTCCAATACTAACTTCAACCATATTGCTTCTTTACTAGCTTATGTAGCTGCTACATATTCTGCTTTAGTTATTGATGTAACTACAACTGATTGCACTTTTGAAACCCAATTCATAGCTCCACTAGCAAGTGCAAACACATAACCTGTAGCGGACTTGCTTTTATTAAGATCACTTACATAATCTGAGTCAACACACCCTTTGACTACAAAGTCTAATCTTCCATAACATAATACAATATCAGAGGTTCCTTTAATATATCTTAGGATCCTCTTTATAGTATTCCAATACTTTCTACCAGGATTCGTTATGTACCGGCTAACCACTCTCACTACATGTGCAATGTTTGGCCTTATACAAATTATAGCGAACATTAAGCTTCCCACTACAGATGCATACGGTACTCAAGACATTTCCATCCTCTATTCTTCACAACTAGAACACATATTGGAGGATAATTTAAAATTAACAGGAAGTGGGGTAGAAATTGGCTTACAATCTTGCATGTTGAAGCGTTGTAAGACCTTCTTCAAATAATTTTTTTGAGAAAGTCAAATTTTCCTATTATCTCTATCTCAGTGAATTTGCATCCCTAGAATCTTATTTGCCAGTCCCAAATCCTTCATTTCTAATTCCCTAGCCAATTGAGCATTCAATTCTTTGATACGATCTTTGTTTGGGCTTGCTACCAATATGTTGTCTACATACAGCAATAAAATAACAAAATCATTCTCATCAAACCCCTTGAAATATGCACAAGGGTCTACATTAAGTCTGCTGTATCCAAGGCTCATAATGAAATAATCAAAACTCTTGTACCAACACCTTGCTGCCTGTTTTAAACCTTACAAAGATTTGTTTAACCTGCAAACCAAGTTCTCTCTTTTTTCTTTTTCAAAACCTTCTAGTTGGAGCATGTAAATCTCTTCTTCAAGATCTCCGTGAAGAAAAGTTGTTTTCACATCTAGTTGCTCTAAGTGTAAGTCAAGCACAACACACATCGCCAGCATTACTCGTACTGTAGTAAGCCAAACCACAGAGAAAAATATTTCATTGAAGTCAATTCCTTTTTTCTGAGCATAACCTTTTGTCACCAATCTAGCACAATACCGTTCCAGTTTATCGTCACCGCTTTTCTTAATTTTATAGATCCATTTATTACCAATGGCCTTTCTTTCTTTGGCAGTGGCACAAGTTCCCAAGTTTTATTCTTGTGTAGGGCTTCAATTTCTTCTTGCATTACTGCCATCCACTAAGATGCATCTGAGGTACTCATTGTTTTTTGAAGAGTTGATAGCTCTCCATCCTCTATTAAAAAATAGTATGCAACATTACTCCCCATCACATAATCTGAGTGCCAACTTGGCGATCTCCTTGTACGATTTGACCATTGCAATTCTTAAGTCACAGACTCAATTGGTTCTTCTTCGTCGTGCTTTGGTGTTGCTTTAGAATAATTATTCTATTCAGATCTCTTTCCACATGTATCATTGTGGTGATGTCGTCTTCATTTTGTAGCTTTTCTTCTAAAAATATAACATCATTGCTGACTACAACCTTGTGGGCAGTGGGATTCCACAAGTGATACCCCTTCACTCCATCAGCATATCCTAAGAATATG